AGTTTTAATAAGAGAATATGCTGAAGATTATAACATCTTACAACTAAAGATTTAATCATTGTATAGTAGTATAGATCACTGTTCATTATAGCTTTCATATTATACATATTATCTATCACAGTAGATACAAGAATTGCATTCATTGTCATTTTTTCTTCAAATTGTTGTCATTGAATCTCTTCAAGCTCCTGCTTGTGAACTTGAATGGAAGTTAATCTTTTCTCTGTTTCATCAGAACATTCTCATAGTTATCTTTCAAATCTTTCTCTAATGTAATGTGATTGATGCAGACAGACACTGATTCATTCTTTGAGCAAGAAGACACTGATCTTTCTCTTGAGTGAGAAGACATGTAGGCTGATTAGCAGTTAAAAGTAATGTATTCTGATTAGTTACAGTTGATGCACACTTCATGTTGACATTAATCAGTGACTTCTTCAGAAGTGATTCTGGGAACTCGGAAGCCTGTTTGAACAGCAGAGACTCTTGTTTGTGTATAGACATTAGAGTCTACTCAATCCATGACATCTGCATTATTATTATTCTTTGACGAAGGTGTATGAGTAGAGAGTGAGGTCGGAAGCATTGAAATATGCAGAAGCATCTAAGCGTTTCTTCAGCGCTTGTATTGTGTTTATATTCAATTCTGTCAGTGTTGAAATTGTCTGTACAGAGGGTCCTTGTTGAGACAATCATTGAATTTCTTCATATTAGCATTGTTAAGTTGCATGCATATCAACTATCTGTTATTGTTGTAATTTCAACATTGCTTAAAGTCCCTGTAGTACTGCATCTATACTTGTGTTCAAGAGTTCTCTCATATTATCAGTCAACATAGCTATATTGTTTATCAGATGTATAATATCTATGAAATCAGAAGAAGTGTAATTGCATAAATATTTCATATGTCTAAGATATCAGAACTCTCAGGTCTTTTGCTAATATTCTCTTATGAGATCTTGTTCTTCTTATGAGATTTTTATTGTGAAATCAGAGTAACTGATGAGTAAGCTTCTATCTAGAAACTCAGTGTCTGTTTATCTGATTGTTCATTTCTCTATTTCTTACACATTATTACATGTTCAGATATCTTCTTAATAAGTAATCATTTCTAATAAGAAGATAATGAATGTTTTTCAAGTGTAAGAAGTCTACATCAAATAGATTAGTATAATATATAAGTCTTATAATATAAAAGTGAAAAACATTAGAAAAGGAAAACAAAAGAGAAAGTGTGAGAATCAGTGATCAGAGCAGATATTTATATGTGTATAAGATAAAGCTTCAGAATGAAAGAAGAGAAATGAGCAGATATCTATATATGTACAAAGTGAAGCTTGAGATGAAAGAATAGAAACTCTGTGAGTTCTTTGACTGAGAATCAGTGACCGAGAATCGGAGCTTTCAGCAGGAATCTATGAAGTGTAATGAAATAGTCTATCAATCAGACGTAGCCCGCTTAGACTGACTGTTAGAACTATGAATTTCACATTTAATCTCATTTGATCTGATCTTATACATTTCTTAATGTGAATCCTGCTGAGACTAATCATTAAAAAAACATGCAAAGTCACTATATATTAGATTGCAAAATGAGATCATGACTTAGAAAAAATAAGAAAGTGATTTCATTTGATTACATTTAGTCTCATTCTTGACATAAAGTTACTATTTTTAGACATTTTAAGATTTTTTTCGACTATTTCTAATTTTTTAAAAAGTAACACTTTTTGATAACACTTAAATAAGATTTAAAGTCATTTAAAGCAATAAAAATAATTTATATTGAGAAGTGAAAATCATGATTTCATTTGAAAAATGTGATAAGAGTAGACAGTAAGTCTCACTGAGACTGTAAGAAATCCCGCTTCTTACGAATTCTCTACCTCTATTTCTATCTCTTGTATAATCACTAGAGTTAGTAGCTCTTGACTACACACAACTATATAGACTGAAGTTCATAACTACTATTCATAACTTAGCTTAAATACTATTATATATTCAATCTCTACATTTTATCTTTCTACTGTGAATACTTTTAGTAGTTAATAGTATATAGTATATCAAGCTGTAAACATCTGAATAATTGTCTGTAAGTACTTATTCTTACATTTCAAGCTCTGTCAGTCAGTAATCATCTGTTATAACTGAAATAACTAGAAACTTATATACTTTAATCTCTGTGAACTCTACTGCAGACACTCAGAAGCAGTTATCTGAATTATGAATAATCTCTATAAAAGAAGTCTCAGAGAACTTATCAATTACTTACAGAATATTATTCTCTATATCTGTGACAGAGAAATTCTCTAAACTTATGAATGAATCAATCTTAGTAAAGAACATTCTTAAGTATCTCTCACAGAATTAAGCTATTTTTCTATAAGAAATACTTACTATCTATAAACACTTTTAAACTGAGTCTCTAGATATAATCTTCAGAGACACTTATGAACTGAAAAGAAACTTTCTTAAGCTGTGATCACTTAAATTTACTTACTGAATTACAATCTATAAGAGCTTTTATAAGTTTATATTTGAAATTAACTTACAAGTCTGACTGTGTGATATGAATAGACTAACCGTGTGACCGTGTCTGAGACCAGAATCAAACTTTACAGTTATCATGTTGCCTAAAAGCATTACTTCTGATCATGATTTGTATTCATTACATTGATCTCAAATCATGTTATTTCAAATATTAAAGATCTCAGATTCACTTTTCAAATAAAAATCTAGTCTCAGATAAAGAATATATTTAAATTCTTAGTCACATTTTCATTCTGATCTTATTATTGAAAATGGCATTAAATGAGATCATGAAATCATTTCTCACTTATATAATATCATAACATAGTGCTCATTTGTTGAAAATTTAACAGAAAGTGTTATCAAATATCATTACTTTTCTGAACATAGATTATAATTGATATCATTTTAATTAAAAAAAATATAAAATACAAAAAAAAAACAAAAAAGTAAAAAGTAAAACAACAATAAGAAAAAATCACAATAAAAAAAAAATAGAAAGGAAAAAGAAAGAGAAAGAAAAAAAGAGAAAGAAAGAGAAAGAAAAAAAAAAAAGAAAAGAAAAAGAAAAAAATAAAAAAAAAAAAAAAATCAAGATCACAGAGCTGCAGTATTCTTAAAATACTTACTTCTCAGAGTCTTTACAATATTCATCATCAACTGTGTATCTCTTATAGTGAGAGTAACACAGCTGTGATGAGTCATTATCTTAATATTATCTAATAAATAATCAGTATATATCTGTATAAATGTGACTAATTAGAAAATATACACTTAAAAAGTGTGATCAGAGTAAACTCTACTGCTATTTAAATGACATTAAGAACAGAATACTGAAATTGATGATTCTTCTCATCAATTTCATGAACAAGGTGTGTGAAGATAATCTTAAGAAATATAAGATTCTTTGACTTCTGATAAAAACAGATCTCACAGAGAGACTCTATTTTCATTATATCAGAGACTGAGTATTATTAAAAAGCATTACTTCAATGCATATGTACTTACTGCAGTGATTCACTCTCTACATATGTGACTGAGAGTTGCAGCTTTCTCATGCTGCACAGCTCTTTCTGAGATACTGCTGCTGATTTGTAATTCACACAGTCTCTCAGTTCAGCACACACTGTGCATATGCAGCCCTGTGTGCTGGGGCTGTGGTGATTATTATGACCTGGCATGATACTCACTTTTCACAGGCCATGTTTCATTTGATTGAGAGAGAAGAGAGAGAACATAACTGCTGTTTTATTTAAGAGAGAATGAGTAATTGAATCTGTAGAAGATAATTTAATTTCTTCTATATTTGAAATTTAATTAGTCTATACTTTTCAATTTGAGAGTTTCTGAGAGTGTTTTAATAGTTTTCATATCAGCTTGAAATTAGTGATTGATTGAAGAAGAGAAAAGAGAGAAGAAAGAAATGAGAACAACTTATCTTTATAATATAAAAACAGAGAATTACTGTAATTATTTATGCTAGTAACAAAGATCTGTTTTCTGCATGTATCTCTCATACAGATTATATAATAACTGTATACAAAGAATATCAACAGTGTATGTATTGAATGAAGATAATATTGCTATACAATACTGTAGCTATTTCTGTACATCTCTGAAAGCTGTTAATATTATCTTTAAGTCTCTTTATATTTAATAAGTCAGTAATATATTTCAATGCACTCTCTCTTTCATTATCATCATCATTATTATTATCATCATCATTATAACTATCATCATTATTATTATCATTATCACTATCATCATTATCACTATTATTATATTATTTCTAACTGTCTCTTCTGCCTTCATCTCTCTTCAACACTTACTGAAATTAATCATGTCATTTCTCTTCAAATATGATATGATTCTGTGAATTATCAAGGCATGTGAGCACTGTCACAGATTGAAGAAAGAGAAGAAGAAGATATTCAAGTAAGAGAAGATAAATTATAAGACATATTATAATATCTTGAAGAGACTCTGTAAGAGAGTAGAATGATAATGATTTTAAGTAATACTTCTGATAGATTTAGACTGAACTAAGTATAGAAATAATGTGAATAATGCTGTCTGTAAGAGATTGAAGAAGAAGACAGTGAAGAGTCTCATACAGCAGTAATAAGACTAGAAGAAGTTCTGAGAATGATTTGAGATCAAGATGAAGAGAGAAAGAGAGAAGAAGAGTATTACTATAAATTAGTGATAATAGAAGAAAATTAAGAGAACATTAAAATAAGAGATAAAGAAGTTAAAACTGATAAGTTTTTTATTTATTAAGAGATACTAATTTTTAATAATACTTCTGTTCTCTAATTGATTAGCAGAAGCTGATAGAGAAGAAGAAGATTAAAGTCTTATTCAGATCTTGAATACACTTCATAATTCATAACATTGAGAAGACAGCTCTGCTCTCTGAGTATGTTAATCTGCTTACTACTGAGATGAAACCTGAGACAGCAGATTAGAAAATGCAGGATTTTAAGGCACAGATTGATCTGACTGAAGAGAAGCAGCAGAAACTCTTCTCTGAGAAGACAGCAGAGAAAGATTTTAAGATGATTATTATCTTAGATCAGAAGAAGAAGAAGAAGAAGAAGAAGAAGAAGAAGAAGAATAAGAAGTGAATTGTAAAGAATGATAAGAAGAATGAGAAAGAGAAGAAAGATAATAAGTAGAAAAAGTTTTTTTCTTTTTATATTAGTTAGTTGTAAGTTCATAATTATTAGTAATTGAAATTAATTTTGAGTTTTTAAAAATTATTATACAAGTTGTAATCAATTATCAATATTAGAAATAATATATATATATATATTTAACTATCATGATTCACAAATCACTATAATATATAAGTATTAACATTTTTTCAATATTGATATTTATAATATTAATATATTTTTAATGATATCATCTGATAATATAATTTAATAACACTCTGTTTCACAATACTAATATATTTCAAGAAATATGACAGAGATTAATCAAGATTGTTTATTTATTTTTATATATCAATGATATTCAATCTGAGTTAGTACTAAAATTATAACTAAGATAAGAAATAAGATTATTTTCTCTTCTATTAATTCTTCTTACACACATCAGTGATCAGTTATTGAAAATAAATTATTATCTTTCTTAAATTATTATCATATCTTCTGAATTTACTTCTTTCACTTCTTTTACTTCTATTGAAGATTCACAAACTCTTTAAGAAATCACTGTGAATTACAAAGTCTATGTTATTTATAATTTAATACAGAATACTCTCTTTCAATTATAATAAATAATCACTTCATTCTTCACATCTGATTCCAGGTTACAAAATTTATAAAAAACTCAACACAAACACTGAGATAAACTATGAAATAATTATTAATAGATTGTATTATAGATTACTGAAGAGTTATCTCTCTACTATAATTACTACAACTTCATTTGAAAATATTCATCATAAACTGATCATAGCTCTGAAGAAATTTCCTGATATCTGAAGCTATCAGAATACAGATAATAAAAGAAAAATAATCAGAAAATTACTACTAAGCTAATAAGTTACTCTATCAGATAATGATTTTTAATAACACTAACTTTCTAATTTGAAGAAAATCATGAGAAAACAACTATATACTAGTACTCTGATTTCATAACTCTTATCTAATAACTTCTGTGAATAATTACTTTATATATATATATCTCTGAATCTTTCTCTTCAATCAATTGAAAACTCTGAATTCTGAACACTTCTTCAAATACTTAATCTAAATCTTTATATTTCACATTGATTCTGTCTTCAGTTCAATCTTGAGATACACTACAAAGTTAATATACAATATCTAGAATCAGAGTTGAAGAATTATCAAAGAGTGTCTCTCACAGTGAATGCATGAACTAGTACAAACAATCTTACATTTATAAGAGTTATATATTATTACATTGATGAGAACTGAACTTATTAAGAGACATTAATTGAATTTAAATCATGAATCAGTCATCATACTGAGAATTATATGATAGAGATATTAATGACTGTGATTAAAAATAACTATTAAGATATTAATCTCAGTCTTCTTACAATTATAACTGATAATGCTGTGAATAACTACACTATGATGAAGAGCTTGAAGCAAAAATTGACTTTGTATTTCTGAAATAATAAATAAGGTTATATTCTCTGCATTGCTTATATGATTTAACTTGTGATATAAACACTGATAAAGAATCTTAACATTGAGATAAAGAATAATGAGAGAACTGATTCTTGAAATGAGAATGAGATGAAAGTAATTACTCAATTAACTTTTACATTCACTTTGTAAAAGATAATTTTTTTTAATAACACTTTTTAATATTGCTTTTTAATAATACTTTTTGATAATGCTACTGTTAATTTTGAATAGATTAGCTAATAATTTAAATATCACAGATTTGAAACATTACTAATATGATTTATATCTCCTCTAAATAATAACAACAATTTCATGATATTCAATAAATAAATAAATCAGTCACATCACTGAATATGATACAGAATATTAGAACACAGTGAAGTTCAATATATGAGATAACTGTTCAGACTCTTTGATTGTATCAGATGATTGATCATTGAATGTAACACTCTGATTAAGAAAAGATTCAGATATTGAAACTTTCTGATATGAAGTAAACTCAGTTGAAATATGTGATTGATTTACTGTTTCAGTTTTATAAGATAATAAAGATAGTCTCAATCACTTATACATCAATGCTGCAGTCAGTCTGATAAGTATATAACAGTTTATTTACTTATCTTAAGAAGCAGTTGAATCACTTAAAAAGAAATTCAGTCTGAGATAATACTATAGTACAGGCTATTATTACTGTAAGAAATAAACTGGTATATTACTACAGTAAAACTGAACAATCTTTTACAGAGTACTATACTGTAGCAGCTCTATTAGATTTCTTCTATCAAGTTAATATCTACACTTCTTAAGATTAAACAGAGAAGAAATGAGACTTATATATCAAATTAACCTGAGACTACTATAATATCAACTATCAGAGATTTGAATGAGCAGATGTTTAAGATGTGAAGACAGTGAAATATAATTCTCTAGTAAGTAATAATCTTTGATAATACTTCATATCATATAGAACTATAATACTAACTTTGAAACAGAACTTACATACATTGATTATAACTGAAAATCAGACAAAACTACATGCTTGTAAAACTGAATGTGACTGCTATCTTCAAGATGATTCAACAAATTTACACATCAAATCAATTCCAGAGTGATAAAAAATTGTTAAGAGTATATATTCAACTGTTGCACTGATGATATGTGATATTCTGACAATTTCATTGACAGAGATGAGAATGAAGTGAAAGTTCAACTCAAGTTGAGATATTTATTACTATTGCTGAGAACAATTACAAGAAGAAATAATCAAGAAACTCATGATTATAAAACATGAAATTATCTGACAGTTTAATACCTCTGATCACAGTATATCAGAGAAGTGTAGTTTTTATGAGAAAGTAAAGAATAAACTTATACAAGAATGTATTTAGTTGTTTCATGAGTATTATCAATAATTATTATCAAATTCTGATTATATAAGCAATCACTGAATGAACTGAATAAGACTGATTTTGATCTTCAGTCTCAGTCTCATTCTGATTTTGAAAGAATGATCATGTTTCATAGTTTATTCTGAGAAATTACTCTCATTTCACTGTTCTTGAATTAAATCTGGTCATTTTTCATGCCATTTCTCTCAGAAATGGTCCATTTTCAGATTTTTTTGAGACTTGGTCTTGGTGAGACTCACACCAAGAAATGTATGAAACGAGACCAAATAAAACTAAATGTGAAATTCATGGTCCCGCCGGCCAGTCTAGATATGAAAGATGAAGAAGCTGTTATCTATACAATGACAGATCTCTACTATATTAAAGTCAAGAACTGACTAAATTATTTAAAGAATGATTATAAGAGATCTCACTAGACTGGCTGCTGAGATCATGAATTTCACATTTAGTCTCATTTGATCTGATCTCATACATTTCTTGGCGTGAATTCCGCTGAGACTAGTCATTAAAAAAACATGCAAAGTGACTATATATCAGATCTTAAAATGAAACCATGACTTGAAAAAAATAAGACAGTAGTCTCATTTGATCTCATTTAGTCTCATTCTTGATATAAAGTTACTATTTTTAGACATTTTAAGGTTTTCTTTAGACTATTTGTAATTTTTTAAAAAGTAACACTTTTTGATAACACTTAAATGAGATTTAAAGACATTTAAAGTAATAAAAATAATTTAAATTGAGAAGTAGAAATCATGGTCTCATTTGAAAAATGTGACAAGAGTAGACAGTAAGTCTCACTGAGACAGTATGAAACTACTATCTAATGTTAAAACTGTGTAATGAGATCAGTTGAATTGATACTATGACTATCAAAAAATCTGGTTCTAGTCTCAGACACGGTCACACGGTCAGTCTAGATCTCACTGATCTATTCTCAAGATCTATTTAGAGAATAAGAACTTTATAAGTCAGATAGAGAATATCTGAGCTATAGTCATCAATATTAGAAAAAGAGACGAGAAATCTAATAAAGACTACTTACAGTACTTCATGAAATTATAATATGAATTAAGATCTGTGAAAACAGAGCTCTGAAATAAGACTTGAATAATGATATTTATAAAGAAACTGAATAAAAATATATAGAATAAGTTTATTGAGTAAGACTCTAAGATTTTAACTCTGAAAAAACTGATGACTCTTATTCACTACTTACAGATTACTGTGAGAATCACAGACTTATAGAGAGTGAATCACTAACTGACTCTGTAAGAGTCAGAATAACAGAGAATAGATTTACTAAGAAAAGATAATAAGATATAGAGAGATTTATATCTGACTGCTGAGCAAAGAGAAAGAGCTTTATAAGCTTCTGTAAATAGAGTGTATAATAGAGAGATTAAGAAAAAGAGTCTCTGCTTTATTTATTTTAAATTAGAATATCTTTATATAAACTATCTGAATAAATTACAATAGAAATTTAAGCAGTTATAAACAGAGTCAGTAACAGTCTTCTTAAGAATCTTGAAGCTGATATCTGAATCTGTTACTCTCTGAATAAAAATACATACTTATAGAGAGAGACTGCACTGCAGTACTGCTGTCTTATCAGTATAAGAAGTATTAATGAACTAAGAATCTTGGATCACTATAGTGTTTCTAAAGCTTATAAAGTAAATAAGCTGAGTGATGAAAACTGAAAATCTACTCTTATAATAAGCAGAATACAAGAACTCAGATCTGAGAACTGAGAGATATATAACAGTTATCTTTGAATTATAAGATCTCTCTGAAACTTGAAAAAGATTTACAGAAACTGTGATTATCACAAACATTATAGATATCATATACTTAAGACTTATATAACTTCAAAAACACAATTTATATATAGCTGTCTGTGAGTCAGGTTTATACTTCTGATCAGTGTTAACAGACTTACTCACAGAGATAGAATTAGTTAATACTGTAGAGTTAATTAGAGAAGACAAGCTCATCTATATAATAACTGTACAGATATCTGAGAACTTCACAGTCATGAAAACTGAGCTT